GGTGTGGGGGGGGGGGGTTGTGGTTGTCATGACACTGTGCTCGTTTTTCGGCTGTTGTTTCTACAGCAACTGAGAACAATGTTGTCCACCTGTGAGCTGTTCTCTGTATCAATCTCTGTTTTGGTTTTTTTTTTATAACAACGATGTGTCCAACCCTTTTGTCTTGTTTTTGTTCTTTCTTGTCTCCCCCCTCCTCCTCCTGCCCTTCTGCCCTCCCCTTCCTCCCTTCAACTGCCCCTCCATCCCTCCCTCCTCTCCCCTCCCTCCCTACAGGATGTGCGTTTGTCACGTTTTCCACCAGAGCTATGGCACAGAATGCAATCAAAGCCATGCACCAGTCTCAGACTATGGAGGTACTGTACTCTTGCCTGTTCTTCACCTCTCTTTCTCTCTCTGTCTCTCTAGCTCCTTTTATACATGCACTTCACTCTGTAAATGTGCTGGCAGTTTAATGTGTCGGCCTCATGTTTGAATATACGTAAGCCCCTTAGTATCCTCTCTGTAAAAGTCACAACTCACTGCTGTACTTTCTAGGATGAGCTTAGTAACATCTCTCTACTTGCAGCACAGCAAACACAACTTAGGTCTGAAGTGAATACTGTCGTATTAATGTAAAGCCTCCAGAAGCACCAGGTTATAGAGACAGATTAGCAGTGTGATTTTAGTTGTTAAGAGCAGGTTCTTGTAATGAAACATAAAATCACTACACAAATTAAAAATACTGTTTATGTCAAATCAGTTTTTAAAAGAAAATTTTGAAGGAGGGGTGGGGGGAATAATATTCATCAGACATCCATTGTCTATACCGCTTAGTCCTGAATAGGGTAACGGGGAAGCTGGATCCCAGCTGACACTGGGTGAGAGGCGGTCGCCAGTCTATCTCAGGGCTGACATGTAGACAAGCAACCACACACACACTCACTGCATGTCTTTGGACTGTGGGTGGAAGCCGGAGCAGCCGGAGAGAACCCACGCAGGCACAGGGAGAAGATGTAGACTCAAACCTGGAACCTTCTGGCTGTGAGGCAACAGTGCTAACCACTGTGCCGCCCTTCATCAGGCAGCTTTAAAACCAACTCTCTTTCAAGCCAGCTGAACCTAAAATTATGAACACTGGACAGCATTTCTCCAGCTTGTCATCGAAAAGATATTAAATAATAGTGTCATCCCTTTTTTTTTTTTACCGGGCTGGGAAGTTGGTGAACTGCTGTTTAATGTCAAACTGATGATGAAATTGATGAAAACCATGTTTAGACAAACAACTTAAATCAAGTTTTATTTATATAGTGTAAATTGATTTAGATCCAATTTAAGTCCTAATCCTAGATTTAATTTAAATGACTAATATAATATATATAAGAAAAATATTTTAATCACAAAGATTCCAAATACACACACACACACACACACACACACACACACAGCTTTTGTGTTTGGGTAGAGGTTTAGCTTTAGTTATATTGTGACACATTTTTAGTAGAAATTTCTCGGCCTTTTTCACACTAACTGTGCCCGTCACCTGCATCCCAGTGTCATGTGGTATAAGCACAAGTGGGCAGCGGGAAAACAGCAAGGTTACATTAGCGTGGCAGGTTTTCCATCATTGAAAACATAGATAACAGCTACATAGACAGAAGAGTGTCAGGTGTCATACAAACTATTGCTCTTAAATGTTTGAACAGAGCCTTACTAGTACACTGATGTGAAAGAGAACAGTGTTCAAAAGCCAGAAATATTTAGCAGAAGTTACCAGTTTTATAGATTCAGTGGGCTTCTTGCTGAAATTTCTTCTTCTCAGCTGATTTGTGATGAAATCAGCGCTGTCAGCTCTTATTCCTCATGTTTTGGTGCCCGATTTTAAAAGTAGGACAAACTTTGGAAAGTCTTAAAGTGATGACCAAACCGCAGCACCTCTGACACAGTGTGCAGGTGGAGTTACAGACCTCATCAGCTGCACAGCGACCCAGTCCGACTTCCTTTGTGTTCCTCCGGTTTTGGGGCAGCATTGTCAGGCTGGTGAGAGATCAGGATGACAGGGCTGTGATTGGGAGAAAATTACATGGTATAGCACGACTGTGAGTGTGTGTACGTGCGTGAGTCAGAGAGAGACAAAAAGTGGTAATAACAGGCTGTGTAAAGGAAAAGACAAGTGGTGTTCACCCCTGGAGCCCCCTCATTAGAGCTGATCATGATAATCATGGCTGCTATTGATGTGCTGTGACCCTGACATGGGGACAACGCATGCTCCTCCCTCTGTCTGTCTGTGCACTGTGTGTGAGTGGGGATCTTCTGTGTGTGTTCTCACACTGTGAATATCAGTGAAGTGTCTGTGTTGATTTTTGTGGCTGAGCTGCAGCAGCTGCAGTGTGTCTGTCTTTCCGAGCAGAAGGAGTGACACTCTCCTCTGACAGCGTTAGTATTAAGCTAGAATTATCCTCGCTCTGAGCAGTCGTCTGTCACAACGGGCCTGGTAAACACTGTCCCTTGCTTTTATCAGGCTCACAGAAATAAACAAGCCTTAAACCATAACACAACGATATTGCACCGGACAATGGCAAAATACCTTCATTTCCATTTGAAAACAAGCTGTCTAGCCCCAGGCGGGCCTAAATTGCCGCATCCGTTTGTTAATGTTCCTCAGTTTTGCAATTTAAAAGTAATTACTTCGGGTCTGAATGAGGGAATGAGGTCTGGCAAATAGAATTTGGTTATTGTCTTGGCTCTATTGCACCCCACTGTCTTAGATAAAGGAAGATTGTGTGTTTGTGTTTTTGTGTTTGCGGGAGTGCTCCCTGGCACGTACTCGCCACATGTCACAAGGAAAAAGGGAGGCAGCCCGGGCGCTCTATTCGTTGATGGCCCTGTCACTGTCATATCCATTCTCATTACGCTGTGACATTCAGGTACCCACCAGCGCGCTCGTGCACACACACACATCTCACGCAAACACACATGCTCGCTGAATGTCAGGCCGTAATGAAAGTGGATATGAGCGAGACAGGTAATTCACTGTCGAACCTCTAAAGACACACAAGGAGAGAAGTGGGTCGGCTTGATTGTGTTGTATTTCTGTTGCATTTCTGTTGATTTGTGCTTTACATTATTCACTCTGTTTGTAAAGACTCATTTGGCGCTCGGCTCCCCTTGTGTAGCGTTCCATCAGCACTGATTTCTGTTTACGCCTTTCTTTTTTAACACCGACACTAGAGGCCCGATTGCACAGTTTCCTGCCCTCGCTGCGTGCACGCACACCCCCGTCATAAATGCACAAGCATTCAGGCGCATTTAGATGAGAGGCTAAGTAGAGCATGAGAGAAAACAGAGCAGTGTTTGTTTAAATGGTGAACAAACACATCAGTCAACTATAGTGATGAGAGGAAACCTACAGAAAGACTGACAGCGGAAAGAAAAACGTAGATTAGGTTTGATTTGATGATTTGGTGTTGTATAAGATGTTTTATAACAGAAGTCCTGGTCGGTCTGACTTCAGCCTTTGCACACAAACCAGGTTGTTTGTCTAAAAACACCTGAATACAACCTCCATTTTATTAGAATAACCTGTGACCCACTGAACAGTCTCAGTTAAAAGTAGCGTGGTTTTATTAAACATTATTAACATTTGGTTGCCTCAGTGTGTACGAGGTGCGCCTTGAGGTGTCTCTTCAGGTTTGTGGTTTTCTTCTCACTGATTTTGTAGCTGCAGGGCTTCTCTCCTGACGATAGTGCACACTCCCGTTTTGTCTCTGCAGTGTTGTTTAAAGTAGGTACAAATGTCGACCGGTTTCTTTCCCAACAAGCCCTTCTGTTACCATCGTGTTCTTTTCCCCTCACTGTCCGTGTTGCCAGATTCTCTACAGTGTTAAAGTGTGTACAGTAGCTAGGTCCAGGCTGGCAGTGCGTTCCATCTAACAAAAGGAGGACAATTTGTATTATGTTTGAAAATGCAGTCCACGTAATTTGGTCTCCTTGGTCTGGTCCTAACACTGCAACTCAGTCTATGTACAACACTTTATACTCTTGGTGAAGTATAATTGCAGTGCTGACTGAGATTTATCAGTGTTAGGGATGGCACTACTACTGCAACAAGTATGGTTTACAAATTGATGACATTTCTATCAGGTAGGCTCATCTGGAATGAATTATAATTGGTAGTTGGTCATTTACAGGCAGTTAACCACGTAGTAATATGAAGTAATGGCTATAGCCAGGAAAAATATACTTATGAGTAGTTGTTGTTCATGAATGACCAGAAGTTACTGGGAAGTACTGCATAAGATTAAAGCAGTATAAAGAGGTTTGGCCAGAAATTCTGTGTTGTTATTATAACAGGTATGTGGCAACAGGCGGCATGTCCTCACTGTTGTCACTCCATATAAACATAAAGCCGGTGTTCAGGTGATATAGCCAAGTATTGTAGGTAGTATTACCTTGTTATTACATGCCATCTTTTACTTTATCATACATAAATTACTTACATCACAGATTAGTAACAGCTTGAACTTTTATATATGACACACTGTGTGAGTACAGCACTAATCAGCCACATCACTGTCCAGGGAAAAACAGAATTACTGGCTAAACCTCTTTATCCTGCTTTGATTTTAGGCTGTCTATTTCCTAGCAGTTAATGGCCTGTAAATTAAAAGGTTGTAGTCTTCCAGCTGTGTATATCACAGGGCTCAGATATGAAGGTAAGACTGTTTATTTATTATGCATGTAGCAAATTCAAAATGCTATACAGGTTTAAAAAAAATAAGATCATACAAAGAAGAAAAGGTGTGTTTTTGGGACCATAGGTTAAACGTCTTGGTGTGCAAACTGCGATAGTTACCAGAGCCTCCTGCTTCCCTATTAGTAGTGGAGGAGCACATGGCTTGACATTTAGAGGCTATGTGAGCAGTAAATGAATGAGATGGCGAAGGTTCCGAGCACATAAACTCTCTTGAAAGCTATGAGAGATTGATTTTCAAGGTAAACGCACCGGAGCTTATAAGTTCAGTTTGCGTGTGTGCATCTAAGCATTCTGGGAAAGATGGGAAGTGATGTGTAATGCTGTCTTCACGGTTGTCTCAGAGAGTTGGCTTCAGGGAGCGCGCTCACATTTATTAGCCAAGTGGAGTCGATCACAAGCCTGTAACTTCTGCCACAGACAGGTTTGTGGACAGTGGGATGAGGTGAAATCATGACCTGAAGCAGGTGCTGAGACGTCATTTCATCCATACACTGCAGTTATATAACTATGAATTTGAATTTCATCATTATACTTATGCCTGGAGAATTATGTTACTATAGGTTGTCAGACCAGTCTGTGTGGTATCACTTCGAAGTGGTTTTAACTGAATCCACTAAGGTTTTATGAGGGACAGTTGACCTGCTAAATGAAAACCATATGTCAGTGCCTTCAGTGAGCCAAAAGTTAGCATACATTCTGTAAAGATGTGTATTTTTGTGTAGGCGATTTTGTCAAACATTATAAGAAACAGCTAAAAATAAAGTCTGTGGCAGTGTCTCCTGGTGAGGAAGGTTCCTGTGAGACCTGCAGCGCTTCGTCTTCTTTAGATGTGAATGTTGCATCATGAGAGAGTGACTGTCTGCAGCTAAAAAATCTCTTATCAAACATAAATCCTTGCTGCACCACGAACACTGAGTTAATAACATATAATTGTTAAAGTAAAACCGTAATATGACTACAAGCATCCACTGGATACCACTGTTGCCTGTTATTGATAAGTTCAGTGTATTTTTAAGTGTTAACAAGCTACGGGGGACTCATGAAATATTTTGGTGCCCATAAAGAGGCAGAGTCAACATGTCACCCCCTGCCGCTTGTGTTCAAAAGTGGCCAATTCAAAACAAATCAGATGTTTTACAGACTTAGTTTTACACAACATGAGGCCTAATTGCGCTCAGTGGTGAGGTTTTCACAGACACCCATCAGCGGCAAATACCTATAAATGCTCCGAAGCTGATTTTAAAAAGCTTCCAGGGTGGTGAGAACATGTGAGTGACTCTGTGGCCGTAGTTAATTTTTAAAAAGTCACATTATCCTGTTGAATCTTTGTGTCATCATCATTGTGAGCTTTTCAGAAAGTCAGCTACCAGAATGGGGTTTGAATGGATTTTTAAGCATGGGATATGTGCCTCAAATTCTTTCTCTCTTGCCCGTTAAAGCTATAATTCTTAAGATTTCAGTTCTTGGACGTTTAGCGACACCTGTGGTTGCTGGTTTTACCAGCAAGTGTGTTTTAGTATGACAGTAAACACTCTGTGAGAATATAAAAGAGTCTTATCAGACTATATTCACCAAGCTATGAGTGTTCTGTACACGTTGCTAGTAGTTGTTCGGACTCCTTGCAGGTTTCAAACGGATCCCCTGTTACTAATGCTGAGCGTTCACCCTCTATGCTAACATCTTTGACAAATGCACTGTAGCCTGTGACTGCTTTTCACAATAAGAGCTGCCCCATTTTCCAAGTTACTTTTAATATCAAACAGCAGCAGTAGAAAGTATTTTAAAGTTCTTTTGATGTAGCAGTTTAATGGTGCCGTGGCCAAGCAGCATATACGAACAGATGACTGTACAGAAATTCAAAAACTACAAAATAAAAGCAGGGTAATCAAAACTAGCTAAAAGCAGACAAAAATAAAACAGGAACAGGCAGGAAGGACTCATTTACCAGTGCATTAAAACAGGCTTAAATTCTGACAGTTTTACCAGATTGAATAAGTTACTGTAAGTTTCTTCTGTAAACTGATCCAGGTTGCTGGAGCAGAATACGTAAAGGCCCTGTTCCCCATCTTTACCCTGATGTTGGGGACAGACGGCAGATATGAATTATTGGATCGAAGGTTATAGCCAGATAGCGGATGGCGGACTCCAGGACTATCAATAAAAGCTACTGTAAAGACGTCATTGCAGAATGTAAATACACAGAATGGCTTTTCCAACAGAAATGCCATTTGATTTCACGTTTTAAGTGTAAAAACGTGATCCTTCGACTTGTGTGAAAAACCTGGCAATGGCACCAGTTTTTCCCTGGACAGTGATGTGGCTGATTAGTGCTGTACTCACACAGTGTGTCATATATAAAAGTTCAAGCTGTTACTAATCTGTGATGAATTATTAAAAATCTCCCTGCACTAAAATCTGTTTCTTTCTTTGAGCCGAACCAACAGATGGCACAAGCTTCCACTTTGCCTCCATGTGTTCTCATCATTTTAGGGGCAAGGTTGACCACTGGGCCCGTCGCCTGAAAACCTGTGTTTTTTCAGTCCAGTTTTCATGGACAGCCAGCAGCACCAGGCGCAGAGGCCCGTAGCCCTCGGCCCCTCTCCTAGGGCAGGACTCTCATTCTAGGCTGCATTTCTCCCGCTCACTGGGTGTCAGCTGGAGTAATGAGATATTTAACAGAGAGGGATAGGGAGCTCCCGTCTCGAGGGGAATCAACTGCAGCGGCGAGGCCCCAGACTGACACTCTCCCTCTGAATGCAATTCTCCCATCTTCTCCTCTTCTTTATGTGTCAGCGGTCAGAATAAAAAGAGAAAATGACTGGTGGAGAGACGGAGTAAATACGGCAGAGATGCTGTCAGACAGGTAACATGCTCATTCCGCTGATAAAGTCGACCCCGGCCTACACAGACGAGGGGTTGTCTGCTCATACACACACACACACACACACACACACACATATATATATATATATATATAAACTGTTAAGTTGTTGTATATTTCATAGCTGCCTTAAACCTGGAAACCACCTTAATTAATATTTGAAGGCATATTGCATAGTCAGAAGTAGATTATTTTTCATGTTAGCAGGTGTTCAGACGAGTGTGGTAAACTTCTCTTTTTACACAGGTGCCTGCGTTGGTCGGGGTTGAGGGGGGAGTGTTGTAGGTGTGCACGGCCACGTTATGAAGAGTCAACGTGAGCGTCTCCAGCCCCGGGAGTTTTGGTAGTGTTTTGGTTAGCCATGCTGCTAACATAGCCTGCTTTACCTTAGCGCCAATTCTACCACCAGTGTGTCGACACTGATAGATTAACATCCAGTAGCCCAACTAATGAAAACACTTAGCCATTGTCATTATATGGTCAGTTTGTAACTGTGGCCCAAATTTGACAGTGAATAGCAGTGAGTGCTCATACTAACAAGGCAAACAAAGGAGTCTTCTTCCTGTGGGTGTCCATGTTTCACTCTAATCACTGTCAAAATATGTCTTCTATCTCTCAGCAGAAAATGATTTAATAACAGTTTTGATAATTGATATTGATAATTGATCATTTTCCAGTGTTTTTCTCTATTTATATCAAACGTGATATCTTTGAGTTTTGGACTGTTGTAAGGACTGCTGAAATGATTAGCACAATGAATAATGAAATTTAAATTAATTGCATCCATATTCATCAAAGATACATATAGGAATGGCACGAAAAAAAAAACAAAAGGTTTCATGACAGTTTGAACCCAAATAATTGCTTTGAATTTTTTCTTGACTCAGAACTGACAAACTTGACTCATCGTACCCGAGAAAACGCTGACACACACATGCATGTGTGTACAGACATCTCACAGTAACAGTACCTTGACTCCCAGGCACTTGACATACATGACTGTGTCGCACTACCTGCGAAGTAGCCGAGTCTCGTCTCTCCCCTGCCGAGCGCAGATCGTGCCTCTGTTTCAGTCGAAAGGGTTTGATTCTCATGTGGCTGATCGCCTTTGTTTCCAGCGGATTTGCCCCGAGTCAGGCTTTGATTGTAGCGTGTGAGATAGATTATGACTTCAGCTTCACTGTGGTTAAGTTGCCACAGCAACTTTCATCAGAAATGTTGTGTTTTGCTTTTATTCTCCTTTGTGTAATAGTAAGTGTGTGTGTGTGTGTGTGTGTGTGTTCGTCACTGGCTCTCTCAGGTCTGTGTGTGTTAGACAGTTCATTCATCTCACATGCACACACACACACACACACACTGCTGCTCTGAGGAAGAGATATTCGATTAATTAGATCCACTTCTTCTGATTGTCCAGATCTCTAAATCTTCCTCTTGCCCTCTGATCCTCTCTTGGCTGTCACTACCTCTCCCTCTCCCTCTCTCTGTCTTTTGTTCCTCTCTCTCTCTTACATACACTATTACACAGACATGAACACACACACACACATCTTCATACAAGATGATGCAATAGTTGGAGAACTCAAGAAATCTGTTTCTGGTGAAACTGTTCTGGACTCAGAGATAACTGAGCCCTTGTGGGGGAAAGAAGAAAGCCCCACTGGCTTTGGAGTCAGGTTTCCTGTGTGTTGTCACAGTGTGTGTGTGTGTGTGTGTGTGTGTGTGTGTGTGTGTGTGTGTGTGTGCGACTATGTGAGACAGTTTTATGAGGAAGTTTTAATTGAGAGTAGATTTATTTTTCTTTGCTGATTTATAGTTTGTTAATACAGAAATATGTGTCGTCCTGGTTCACTTTGTGTGTGTGTGTGTGTGTGTGTGTGTGTGTGTGTGTGTGTCATTACCCAGCGTTGTAAAAACTTAAATTTTCTGGCCGTTATTAAATGCATAAATATATGAATCAGTTTTATGTTTGTGTTTTCTACTTGCTATCATCATAAACAGCAATTATTTCCGAGCCTAAACCAGAATCCTTAATTATTTTTTCTTCTTCTCTTCCTTTTTCCACCTCTTCTCTCCCCTCATTTGTTATCCTTCTGTTACCTCCCATTTTTTCTCCCTCTCTTCTTCCCTCTTCTTTATTTCATTTTCTTTTTTCTTTTTCCTTTCTGCTCATCCTCTTTTTTCTCCTCTTCCTTTCCTCCCTCTCTTTTTCTCTTTCCTCAATCTTACCTTTTTGCTTTTTTCTCTTCTGCTCTCCTCTTTCTTTTTCCTCGTCTTTCACCTTTCTCCTCTGCCTTGTCTCCCTCTCTCTCATCCTCTTGATCTCTTCCTGTCTCTCTCTTCTCTCCTTCCACCTCTCCTCACTTCTCCCCTCCTCTTCCTCTCCCGCAGGGCTGCTCGTCTCCCATCGTGGTAAAGTTCGCCGACACGCAGAAGGACAAGGAGCAGCGGCGTCTGCAGCAGCAGCTGGTGCAGCAGATGCAACAGCTCAATAGTGCGACCACCTGGGGGAGCCTGACGGGCCTGGGTGGCCTCACCCCGCAGTATCTGGCTGTAAGGAGAGCCGCTATGTCTCCCATCTCCGCCGTCACCTCCACCACCACCCCTTACTGCAGGCCTGTGGCCGGCGCCGCTGCAGTCAGACAGGCTTGCCGTCTTTTCCTCCTTTCTTTCTTTTGTTCTCTGATTCCTCCTGTGGCCCTGCCATTGTTCTTCCCCTCCGTCCTCCTCTTGGGGGTGTTGGTAGAGAGGAAATGAGGTCTCTGAATTGGATATACTGCTGCCTGAAGAATATATTTTATGTTCAGTACAAAATGAGAGTGTTTCTTTTGGGGGCTTTATCTCTTTATCAACTTGGTTGCTTCTTTTTTAATCATTCATTAATTGCGGTTGCACAAATAATTATTCTGTCCTTTGTCACATTATGTCAAGAACTAGGTTTTCATATGTATCCAACTATTTCTTTTGGAAACACTCTATTTATCTCACCAGATGTTTTAAAAGAAACAATGACTGATCAATATATGAAAATATTTTCTTATTGAAAGTATCCGCACAACAATAGCTGCCGACATTTGCTGTGATATCTGCACATGGCAACAACGGTAAAGCATGATTAGCAGCTGTGGCTCAGGCAGTAACGCAGTTGTCCCCCATCCGGAAGGTCGGTGGCTTGATTCCAGAACCGGGAAGTGTCCCTGGGCAAGACACGAATGAACCCCAGGTTGCTCCTGATAGCAGCACCTTGCAGGGGCAGCGCCGCCATCTGTGTGTGTGTGTGAGCTGGCGCCACAGATGACTGCCTCGGTTCTGTACCGGTGACAGATTCCTTACTTGGCCAATAAAAGCGATTATCGTCATTAGCATTTTATCCTTATGTTTAGGCAACTCGAACTGCTTGGATAAGAGCTGGGAAAGATTGTAATTTTGGTTGAGTATTGAACATGTCAAAGGAGACACAAAACAGGATGTTTTTGGTTTTTCTGGGTTTAACCAGAACCAGAATCTTCCCCTAACCTTAGCCAGCATGTTGTCATCTGAATGGTAACGCATAGGGACGTGAACTCCCCGCAGACTCCATTGTCAAAGTCCTGTCCATCCTGTGTTGTACAAGAATGTAACATGTCATCGATCTGAGAACTGCCACGGTACCTCACACGTCTGAGACCCTCATCTGTTGATCTGTTTCACTGGGAAGTTACTGCTCTTCTTTGTCTCATATGAAGGTTCAGACACCTCATTCCTTCTCTTTGCAATCCTTTGCCTTCCCAGACTCATACTCAGAACTTCTTCCTCAGAAAGCTTTGGTGCTAACACTTGACTCATTGCTCTTCAGTTGCTAAATTAACAACTCTCCCCAAAATACACATCTCAGAAGTCAAAGATTCAGTTCTCAATTTGATCCAAAGCACAGCTTACGCCTGTCTTTTCAATGTGGGAAAACAAACACTCCTCTGTACTGGATATTGATTTATTTTTGGGACAAAACTTGAGATAAAAAGTGTTTTGTGAATTGTGCTCCCAGATTTTTCTGCTCTTTCGATCCTCTTTCTCAGTCTTTTGAAAAGATTAAGCTCTATCCTGGAGGAGAACAATTCACACACAGAACATAGAAACAAGATGTTAATTTGCTGTTAATTCAAGTCTTTGAAGGATGAGTTTTTGACAGCATCAGTATTCAACTTTTGTTTTGGAATCTAATTAGTCGGCTAGATTAGAGCTTTCATGCTCAACTTGTCTGGGAGAATCATGGAGAAATACAAACAGTGTTTGCTTAGAGGGGAGATCAAACTATATTAGCAGCTCATTTACTCATTGAGCACTGATGCAAAAAACACATTGCTAAACTGTTCTCAGTGTAGCAATGTATAGACATGTATTGAGCTTTGACTTTCCACCCAGCCCATTTTGTTTCTCCTTTTTCTGTTTCCCCTGACTTGTATCTCTTTTTGTCTCTTTCTTGCCATCAGCTGCTTCAGCAAGCGACCTCCTCCGGTAACCTAGGAGCCTTCAGCGGGATCCAGCAGATGGCCGGTGAGTCAAAAGTCAGTCTATAAACTCCCCTGAAAGCACGATCTACCGCAGCAGTGGACTCGTTGTTGTGCCTTTGGTTTTTCTGACCGACTTGTAAAAGAGGACCAAAGAGCATAACAGATGAACTTGCGCAGTGGAGTAAAGAGAGATCTTTGTCCTGAGCATTTATTAACTGTTGCTAAGATTTGTCTTGATCTTTTAACAAGGCCAGACAAGAGCTGTGCCCTGGGCGTGTAACGGTAGCACAGAGGCTTTGTCAGGGATGAATGAATCACAGAAAGGAGCAAAGAAAAAGAAAAGGGAGCGGAGAAAGTGAATAAAAGCGGGCTCCTTCGGCGGGTAGCTTGCACTGCAGGCTGGCGCCCTCTACTGCTCTCTTTCCCCGGAGGGCCTCTGTCATCTTGACATCTCAGTCCTTTTCAAGCACATCTGCAAGTTCAAATCAGATTCAAGCCTTTTACAGCCATTTCAGTGCTACGTGACTTTAAATCCAAGAAAAGAGAAAGACAAAGGCTAATAAAATCATCTTGTTTTGCAGTGAATGTAATGAGTGAAAGTTTTCTAACTCTAAATGGATTGACTTAGAAAACGGACACAAACAGAACCGACAGTGGAAAGGGACAGTTCAGTTCTCTTAAGTAAAGCTGATGCAATAAAAAACTACATATTGTATTAACACATTTTCTGTATTAATCTAAGCCTTGAGCATGCCAGGAAGACTTCTATTAAATGTCGAACAAGATAAAATCTCTGTCTTTAAGAAATATAATTTCTAGGGCTTTAAATGTGGGTTATTTAAGACTTTCCGGAAAGCGCTGATTCTCTCTCTCTCATCATCGCCGACTTCTCCTCTCTTTCCATTAAACCCTTCTCTTGTTTCTCAACAGCCATTCTTCTTTTTTGTATTTATTTTAAGCTTCTTTTTGCAGACTCTCTTGCACCTCCCACCCTCTTCAATCACAGTTTCTTCATCTCACCTTTCCTCCTCTCTCCAGCCTTCTTTCTGTTCCATCCTCCTTTGCTCTTCTTCTCTGGGTTTTTTAGCGAGGCATCAGCTTTTAGTTGGTCGGCACAAGAAAACAGTATAAAGAAATTACCAGAAAACAATAAAGCATCTGATGGGGGTTTTTAAAGCGGGGAGCCTCGTCATGTAGCCCCCAGCTTTCTGTCATGTTCCTTGAGTTATAGTGCCTTGCAATTTCACTGTGGCTGCTTTAAATTTTTAGCCCACTCTGGTGTTGAGTTCAAACACACACTTTCCTTGCAAATACACACATTCACACAGATAAATAGGCTCTGGGATTTGGAACCAAGGGTGAGTAATGGTGTCTGAGTCTGGCGATCTGTTGGTCCTCCATCTGCGAGAGAGGGAGAGTGAGCTTTAATGATTGGCAGGAGATGTGAGACAGCTGAATGACATCTGGTCCCAGTCTTTAACATGAGGAGCTGCAGAGCTGAGAGGCTTCAATTACACCAATGAGCATTCAATTAGATGCAGCCAATGCCAGCCTGGTGCAGCCCAGCTCTGCCATACAGGCTGCATGGAGTGCACACACACATACACATGCATCCCTACGCACATATGTACTCAGTCACTCCCACACTCACGTACCATCTGCACAGCCCGGATATTCTGACTCTGGTGTGGCAAGTAGATTGTATTTGTCTCATACTGTCTCTCTCTCTCTCTCTCTCTCTCTTTCTCTCTCTCTGTACGGCTTCATCTCTACTTTATTCCCCTCTAACCCAGTTATTTTTATCTCCTGCCTGCTCCTTTTCTCCTTATAACTGTCTTGAAAATGTATTTTCAATGAGGGAGATAGCCTTTGACAAATGCAAGTAAGAATTGGTGTAGAGCTGCTTTGAGGAAGCAGGACAAAGATGTTGCACGGAGAGAGAGACAGAAGGAGAGCGGCTGTGGAGGAGTCTTTGCCATCAGCTGAGGATAAAAGAAAGGACAGGAAACAGAAGAGAGAGGCTGCGAGGGAAAGGAGATGAGAGGAAAGATAGAAGATGAAAAACTGGAAAAGAGGAAGAAAAGGGAAAGTAATGTATTTGGAATTAAAAGGGAGGGAAGGTAGAGAAGGAAAAGGACAGAAATGGGGAGCAAAAAGGGAGGAAATGAAAAAAGGAAATAGAAAAAAGGCAGGGAAGGTAAAGGTATGGAAAATTGGAGAGGAGAAAAGGAGTGAAATAGATAATAGGGAGGGAACAAGGGTAGAAAGAGAAAGGGAATGAAACAAGACAAGGAAAAGGACAATAAAGGCAAGAATGGCAAATGAGGAAAAAACAGAAAAGGCAAGGGGGGCAATAAAGGAAAGAATGGTAAATGAGGAAAAAACAGAAAAGGCAAGGCAGAGAATGAAAGGAAAGGAAGTGGAATATGAGATGGAAAAGAAGACAAAGACAGGGAAGAAACTGAGAGGAGAACAAGCCAAAGAAAAAAAAGAATGTAGAAAATGTAGGACAGGAAAGCAAAGGAAAGGGCAAAGGCCCCAAAGCAATAGAAAAGAAATTGAAAAGGAAGAGAAAATGTAGGAAAGGAAGAATAAAGATAGAAATGGCAGGGAAGGAAGAACAGGACAAAGCTGGTGGAAATGAAAAGGGAGCAGGGAGAAGATACAAGTCATTAAAAGAGAAAGGAAGCATCAAAGAAAAAAATGGTGAAGGAAAAGAAAGAATAAAAAGGGAAAGGGTTGTAAAGAGACAGGAAAGAAAACAAGAAGAGAAGTGGAGAGAAAGGCAGGACATAAACAGAAGGGAATGAAGACAAAGACCAGAGCAGATTGGAAAAAGAAAGACAAAAAAGAGAAACGATCATGAATAAAGGTAAAGGTAAGGAAACATACGAGGAAAGGATGGAAGGCAGCAGATAGGAAGAGTCTGTCAAAACCAAAAGGAAGAGAAAAGGAAGTGAATACAACACAGTGACCTGTTTTTATATTACAGACATGCTGAAGAGTTATTATCCCTAAAACGTCGAGCCTCTGTGGTCAAACCCGTCGTATCAGCTGCTCTCCAAACCCCCACGAGGGAAAGACCAAATAAAAATCTCCTTTATAATATAATAAAGAGCCACAAAGGAGCGTGCTCGTAAAGCAGCCGTCTTCTCTCTGCAGCGTCAGTAATGAGTCTGCGTGAGCCAGCAGCTCTCGTCTGGCGCACTGACTGCCTGATAGTGACAGCTGTTTTCTTCCCACCTTGCATGGAAATAGAAACCCATTGTAGTTGTGATGTATCTGAGAAAATTGGAGAAAATTGCTTTGGAAACAAGATTGGTTTTGGCTTCTGCGCACTCAAGCACAGATGAGTAAAAAACTCACACTCACGCTTACACAGTGTACATGTCGGTTTGTTTTCCCGCTCACACGCACTTGTCACGACAACCCGCAAGCAAGAGCAGAGCATTTAGAAACTCACAGTTGTGTCTTTATTTATTTATTTGGCATTACATTTTTAAACCAGGACTGTGATTACCACTGATGAATCCAGCCGGCTGTCGTCACTGCCTGTCCGGTTTGCTCGTCTGGGTGCAGGGTATCTTTGTTTAACCTCGACCATTCACCAAACAAGATGGATCTTCTTCATGGTGTCTTGTTTGTGTGTCTCTATGTGTGTGAGTGTGTGTGTGTATGTGTGTGTGTGTGTGTTTATCCCATGGTACGGTATATACATCCAGACTGTATATACGACACATACACCTCACACTGACAGTGTCCACCCTTTTAACTCTAACCGGCTCATGAGTCAGAGGACGCTTCTCTGTGGTAAGACCAATGACTGACTGTGTTTCTGCTTTATGAGGTTTTATGCTGACGCCGCATAATGTCCTCACACTTGTATAAACACACATGTTCATGGAATAAGGTGAAGGGTTGCGTTGTGCTCACAGAGGGTGTTTTATAGCCCCTGCTTCACCATCATTTAGCTGTTGCCATGTAGTCATTAATTATGCTTAAGCACAGGCCTGTTTGTTAATGGCACTGAGCAGATTAACACTGGGAGAGTTTAGCCTGCAGCTGTCCTCAACTACAGGCTGTGACGTACACTCACAGGCCACTTTATTAGGTACGCCTGTACAGTTGTATGCACTTCAATGCGACACTTCCTAACATCTCTGTTTGTGAAGCTCAAAGTGTTTCAGTTTTTGGTGAATTATATGTGATTATATGTTTATTATTGGCACGGTGGTCAGTGCTGTCGCCTCACAGCAAGAAGGTTCCGGGTTCGAGCCCCGGCCGACCCGGGGCCTTTCGGTGTGGAGTCTACATGTTCTCCCTGTGCCTGTGTGGGTTCTCTCCAGGTACTCTGGCTTCCTCCCACAGTCCAAAGACATGCATCTTAGGTTGATTGGGGACTCTAAATTAACCGTTTGAGTGTGTGTGGTTGTCTGTCTACTTGTCAGCCCTGTGATAGACTGGCAACTGTCCAGGGTGGACCCCGCCTCTCGCCCAGTGTCAGCTGGGATTGGCTCCAGCCCCCCATGACCCTATTCAGGAATAAGCGGTATAGATAATGGATGGATGGACTAGACTATATTCATAGGTGTTCCTAATATTCTGATCCTCTTATGTATGTAGCTGGAGAGGACAAAAATATAGCGACACCTCTGAATACAGCGTCGTCCAGTACAACTCAATAAAAAATATACAATTGAATTTATATATTTGTGACAATTTCACCAAAAACTGAAACATTGTGAGCTTCAAAAACACAGACGTTAAGGTGGAAGCACATACAGCTGTACAGGTGTACCTAATAAAGTGGCCCGTGAGTGTATTCATACTTAGTTTGAGATGCAAAGTGTCATTCGGGTGCTGTCATGAGTCAGGTATGTTTTAGTATCATAATGTTTGTGGTAGCTTACAGTAATGTTTACTGTTCAGAATCTACTGCCGTCAGTTTTCATGGTGTTAAACTGTAAAATAATCTGGCTCAGGAAATATAACATTTAAAGTACTGCTATTAATATAGAAGGCAAATAGTGGCTGATTTTTATTTTACTACTATTATTTAAGTTTATTTGACAGGGACCTTTCACAGTCTTCACTGAACAGCAGGACTATGAAGTGTATCTGAGCCAGAGCCTGAAGGACTAAATCTTCTCTGTCACTCCGCAGGTAGTGACAGAGAAGATTTCAGTAAGATTTACTCACTGATGCAACCTTATAAACTTTAAAATATCAATACCAATCGTGACACAGAATCGTAGCTATACAGGTCTAGTTAGACCTTTAGTTGGCTGAGGAAATAGTCGGATCTCAAGTGATATATCTGGAAAAATATCCCATAAACTAGATGAGGTAGGTTTGTTTCCTGCTGTAGTTTAGTCTCCTCTGAGATTTAATCTGGTTCTAATTGCAGTGATGGAATAAGTACTCAGACTGTTTACCTAAATGAAAGTAACAATGTCACAGTGTAAAAATACTTTGTTACAAGTAAAAGTCCTGTCTTAAATACAGTATGTTACTTAAATAAAAGTACAAAAGTATTGGCATCAGGATGTACCAAAAGTAAAAGTTTTCATTATGCAGAATGGACCGTTTCACATTAATGGAAATCATATTATTGGATCATGATTATTAATAAATTATTGTGTTCATCACATTTAATGTTGCAGCTGGTAAATGTGCTGCTAATTCTGCCTTATATATGTTAGAATTTGAAATACTACAGGGTATTTTGTGAATTTCTGAGCAGGGTCAGTAAACTCAGATGTGCATGTTGTATTTACTGATTCTGAAAAGTAAGTGTAAAAAGTACGATATTTAAAATGCAGTGAAGTCAAAGTATGAAATAACAGAAAATGAAAACACTCCAGTAAAGTACAGATACCTCAAATTGTACTTAACTACCATACATGAGTAAATGTATTTAGTTACTTTCCGCCACTGGCTACTTGGACAGAAACATAGAAGTGAGAAGATAAGTCAATGAGGTTATTTCTGCCTCAGAGAAATGCACCAAGCCTAAACACTACAGCAGCTGCTTTTACTGATCTAAACACTTTGGGGACTTGTTAGTGAAATCAGCTGCTGTGCTGTTTGTCTTCACACGCTCTACACACAGCAGCAGACTTTCTAAAGCCGTCTGACGGTAGAGTAGGAGACACTTAGAGAGGTTATTTGCAGGCATGTGGGGCTCCACTGTCATTCTTGTTCACCTTCGGACACTGTCCCAGTCCAGCCAGACGACCCCGGCCACGCCTCAGCCTCGCTCCCCAGGTTTGACACCACCCTCTCTGGCTCCTCTCTCCAGGTATGAGTGCTCTGCAGTTGCAGAACCTGGCCACTTTAGCGGCAGCGGCGGCGGCGGCTCAAAACTCAGCCAGTCCCTCCACCGCAAACCCCCTGTCCTCCAACGCCGCGTCCCTGGGAGCGTTGGCCAGCCCAGGTAACGCTGCAGTCGCTCAGGCTGGGGGGTCCAACACCGGGGGGCCAGCGCCTGCCTGCCTACGTCCACCGCTCTCCACCATTCCCATTACCAGTGTTGTCTCCCCATGATCCCGGCACATCACCGCCATCACCGAAGCCATTGACCAGTCATCTTTGTTGAGACATGACCATCTTCATTGTACAGATCGTGGTGTTGATGACACGTTCCCATGGTGTGTGTACCCCCCATCTCAGCTTCACACATCTCATTAGAGACCCCATGCTGTGCTGTCGATGCGCCTCCTCCCTGCGTCGTCCTGTCTTTGAACACGTCACTTCCTCACCGTGTGGCCCGTCCACCATGCCATCTTGTGATACACACGCTGTTTATGTGTGTGCGTGTGCATGTATGTGTGTTTCGTGCCTAAACGTTTGTCGGGTTCAGATCTGTGTGGTCATGTTGTAAATGATTTCTTTGTTTGTGCCTCACCTGAGTGACTCCGGAGACCCATGTAGAAACGTCATGTTGTTGTCTCCCAGCAGACGGGGTTTGCACCTGTGTGTGTGAGCGTGTTGGTGTTTTGTCTCTGCTCATGGCTGGAGGTTGATGTCTGAACTTGGCTCAGGTTAAATATCACCACCTTCAGATTCTCCCCTTCCTTCTTCCCCCTCCTCCTCCTCCTCCTCTCTTCTTCTTGTGTTCCTTCTCGTTGCCCTCGTCTCTTGCTGCCGCCCTCCTTTTGACAAGCTCCCTGTTTCTGCTCCATCATTCTCCCCTTTCATGTCGGCTCGGCCTCGCCCCAGCAGCCGTGGTTTTGCTGTCTCTTTTGGAGTGCACTCCCAGCAGAGCATGAATATGGAAAGCTACTCTCCCTCATGCCTCACCCCCTCCTCTCTTCTTCCTCTTTCACGTTAACGCTTGCGCCGTTTCCATCCCACTTCCTGCCTCCACCGAGCCGGTTCACACCAGCGTGAATGCTCGTTCTTGTCTCGCCCCTCTTCCTTTTCTGACTCCTCTCTATACTTTTCACCTTCTCCCTTTTATTTCCGCCTCTCTCTCTCTCTCTCTTCCTGACACTGAATGTCAGTCCAACCTTGAATAGTACACACTCAGGTTGAGCTGCTCAGTGTGAATGAGTGGCGTTATACTGCATGTGTCAGTGGAACTGAAAACGTCACTCCAGTTTGATAAATATAGACAGTTCTGCATGGAGACAGGCTCGCGTTTCTGTTTTGCACCATGTGCCGACATAACGCTGCCTTTATCACGCCATTTGTTAATGTATTCGGCGGCAATCCAGCTTTGTTGGCATCGCTTTGATGAGATCAAGGGTGAATGAACAGATTCAGTCTGTTTGTCTAAAAACAGAACGAGGTTGTGAGCTTGTTGCACCGTACTTCCTGCCATCTCACCTGTGTATGGTACACATTTCACATCAGTGTGTGTTCAGTCGTACATGTGTGAGTTTGCTTCCCGCTGTGTTCAATTTCACCTCGTCCGCCGTGTGTTTTGTGTATTGTGGTGTCAGTAACAACACTGATTTTTAAAAAGTAATTATATACTCTAAATAAGAAAAAAATTAAAAAGTTCCACAGTTACAAACTTTCAGAAAGGTTACTTGTAATCATAAATATCCTCCTGATTGTGCTCTTTCTGTACTGTTGTCTGTTTTTGTGGATGGTCTTTATGCTTTTTAGTATGTTATATCATCACCTTGAATGCAGAAGTCCTCCAGTTTATGTGAACAAAACAAACGATACAGAGCTCTCAGAGATATATTTTCATCAGCATATAAATGTATTCATGGGGTTTCATATGTAGGGTCAAGATGCTGCAGCTTGTTAGATTAACTATTTGTAATATTTTAAATTATGGGCATATTATCAGATCAACTGAGATGCACTGTTATAGATCCATAAAAGAATGAGACCACTGTGGAGTAAATTGGTTGGCTCCGGATCACATTTCCCTTGAACCCCAGGGCTTCTGGTTGGAAACGTGTTTTCAGTTTTCTCCATTCCCAAACCTCCCAGCATGCGTCTTCATCATCAGAAGCTTTAGCCCTGTTTGCGCTGGAAGAACAGTGCCCAGGTCCTGCATCTGGATTCACAGCTGCATCAAAATAAATGACCTGATATGGTCCAAGAACTGGTGAAACAAAGAGTTCTTCAAAATGTGGAGACCCAGAAATACTAGGTGTGGACTTTATTGTTAATAGATTCATCTTGAACTTAGAAATCCAAGAAAAAAGAACTTTGCTTGTGTCCCCCCTGTTTGTGTCAGAGGTGCTTATAAAACCCATTACAAGTGGCACCGTCTCCATCGAGACCTAGTCACTACTAATTAACTTTTGTCCAGTTTCATATCTTTTAGAGATTTATTTTGAAATCCTGATAACACACAAACAAACAAAGGACTGAAACCTCACTGGGAGAAGTGGTTTCAGTTGTTTGTATTTCAAAATTCAAACAATTTACTGGTGTTAAATCTTTGTTTGCATAAACTCTATAAAGGCCAAGCTGTTGGAAACAGCCTGAGTTCATAATAAAGCCTTCACCTGTAGTAGAGGGACCTTGTTGAGATTTGTAAAATGCTTCTATAACACATGTGCTTCTTTGTCTCCTACTCTCCCTGTTCTTTCCTTTCTCTTTTTACTCTTCATCCTGCTCTCTTCCTCCCCTCCCTCCTCCTCACATCTTCTCTTACCCTAGCAGCGGGCACTACAGCCAGCTCTAACGCCGGCGCTATGAACTCTCTGACCTCTCTGGGTACCCTGCAAGGCCTGGCAGGTGCAACTGTGGGCCTGAACAACATTAATGCACTAGCAGGTAGCGTCAACAGTGAGCATTCACCCGGCCATCAGCCATTCCACCTCCACCTATACCTATGACCATCCACACCCTACTGCACCATCATTACCGCAACCTGTGAGCGGATGCAGAGAGACCTTACACAACACAGCAGTTTGATTGATGTGGGTTTTTAAAGGCTACTCCAGCTGTTTTTTAGTGTTAAAACTGTGAAGTGCTCATATTCAGTACCTTTAATTTGACAAAAACACACTAAAGCTAAGAAGAATGTGCAGAATTTGCTATAAAAATGCATCATACCTGCTGATTATGTGCATTTAATGTAATCAAACAAAGCCGGAGTACATCAAAAACCCATACCTTTGTCCAACACAACTATAATTTGCCATTTTTATTTCACTGGGTACATGGAAACAATTTCCCCTATTTAGGTTACTGATAAGCAGTATGAAATTGGACAACCATCATTTACTTTATCTATATATATGTTCCCAGAATAAAAGACTGAATGATGTTAATAGAAAACGCAAAAAGGTTTAAATTCAAAATATTTATGTACTCTGGTCCTTTGGGTACAAAACTCATTCACAGCACCAAAACTACAGTTTAAAGTCTAGTCGCCTCTCTGTGTCTCAGTTTGGCTTGCAAATAAATTGTCCTCACTCTCTCAGTGATGGCTACCTCATCTAGTCATCTGGCCACAGATATTCCATCCATTGATCCATCCATTCCTCCATCTCTCCATCTGCTTCCTGGTTGTGTGCTGGGTTGTGCTTGCTGTAAGAGTGCTGGTGTGCCAGTCCTGTCAGTGTGCTGCCTCACACCTCTGTTTCTGTGTGAGATCATGGTTTAGTTGTTTTGTTTGTGTCCCTGTTTCCTGTCATCTTGAAAATATACTTAAACTACCAAAAGTAAAAGCCGTCGTTCCACAGAATGGCACATTTCACATTTGATGTATATTATATTAACCAATTATACTTACTGATGCGTCATTGCGTATGTTACATTTAATGTTGCACCTGGTAAAGTTGGAGATCATTTGAAGTACTTTATATGTTTAGAATTTGAAGTGCTGATGGGTAGCATGTGAATTTCCCACCGGGGATCTATAAAGTTTGATGATTATATTGTATCTTGTTTTGTTAATTGGATTCTGAAAAGCAACTACAGTAAAACCTTGGATTGCGGGGTAACCCGGTCTGCAGGTGTTTTGCAAGACAAGCAAACTTTCTGTAACACAGAAATTTCCCCATTGTGGGATCAATAAAGTAACTACTCTACTCTAAATGTTCTAATGTGATAAACGGGCGAGGTCTTGCAATACGAGTAGTACGTACGCTTTGTCTGCCGAGCGTCACATCACAACTGAGCTGATGGTTCTTGCACTTCACTCGTATAGTCAACAATGGCCCCTCACGCCAGCCACGATTATTTTCAAAGGTAGAGTGCAGGTTAATTTGTTTTATTTTTACTTTATACTGTATTTTGTATTACTATAATCATTTTTATATGGATAAGTGGTTGTGGAACAAATCATCTGAGTTTGCATTATTTCTTATAGGGAAATTTGCTTTGATATATGAGTGCTTTGGATTACGAGCACGTTGCTGGAACGAATTATACTCGCAATCCAAGGTTTTACTGCATTAACTAAAATTATCAAATAGATATAGTAGAGTAAAAAGTACCTCTAAAATGTAGTGAAGTCAAAGTATGAAGTAGCAGAAAATGAAAATACTCAAGTAAGAATACCTCAGTACTGTATTTAAGTAAAGTACTTGAATAAATTTACTTAGCTGCTTTTCACCTCTGAATTTAAAGGTAGGGTTGGTGATTCTCTCAGAAGCATTTTTTGTTATACATCTTGAATTTTTGTCTTCATCCCGATGGCAGTGAACACATTAAATCCACTGACAACATAAAGAAACAGCAGCAGGGCTGAACAAAGCCTGACCAATGATTTTACTCATCCCATCAAAAACCACTGGACGGCCTACCTGCCTATAAAACTACTTCCTACTTGTGCACACTCTGCCTGTTCACTCAGTGCACAGTCTCCCACAAGGCATTGCACTTGTAGGCAGACTTGTTACTGCTCTGTTTTGTTAGCTAAAGCTAGTGAGCTATGGCAGAGAAGTTACCACAGCAGCTTTGGTTCGCAAACAGAGACCATTGTCACAGGCCAGGCCTTCCCCTATAAGACACATGGCCTTATGAGTAATGTTGTTGTTGTTGCCAGAAGTTGCTACCTGCAGTGTGAGGGCGAGAAGACGGTCACACCTCCTCTTACCAACAGTAGTCAGCTCTAAGTGTACAGACAGGACTGTAATGCAGTTAACTGGGCACCAAAGGCCACATGTTTGTGTTACCAAGACAGAATAAAGCCTGTGTTTTGAACGGAGTTCACTGGCTTCCCTCTTCACTTCTCCCTGCTGGAAAAGACCAGACTTCTAAGGCTAGTTACCGGCTATGAGCCAGGGCTAAAGCAGTTTAGTCATGAACCAGAGGTTCCCAGCTACGTTTCAGGGCCGCACATCTGGGTGGGTAACACCGTATTCAAGAAAGTTAAAACTAAAAAGAAGTTAGATGCTGCAAGAAGGAAAACCAGAAATAACGTCGGCGTGGCTTTTGAATGACATCAACAATTGAGAACAAAAGGGACTGAAAGGTGACGCCATGATGGCTGTGTTTCTGCTGGACAGGGAATTATTGGTTTGGTTTTGTTTGGGAGCCATTTGTTATTTTCCTGAAACCTGTAAGTAGTAGTCAGGCCATGTGCGTTGTGTTTTGGGGGAGTGGCTTTGGAGAGAAGTCAGAAAGAAAGGGCGGGATTTCTTCAGTTGGTTACTTTTAAAATCGAACTTCATCGTCCTGGTTTTTCCAGAATCACCAACCCTACCTTTAATCACTTACATGACAAAACACAAATCGTGACAAATTTTATGTCATGAAATAAAAAATGTCACATGTCATCTAGAAATACAACCTTTCTTCCAAAAAAAAAATATACCAAACGTGTTAATTGTCATACCAGGAAAAACACAATTTGATTATTTTTATGTCAAAAAATATAATAGACAATTTCCAACCATTTTTGTTTACAAAATGGTGAATTTTTTTCTCCATAAATACAGTCGCTCCTTTTTATGCCAAAAAAAAGCAAAAATATTTCAACCAAAATACAGAATTTGACAATTTTCTTGGCAGAGGACATAACAAGTGTTAAGGTAAAAAGGCATCATCCAGTTAGCTTGTTTATAACCTGGCACGATTTTACTTTTTAGAGTTTACTTTTACAGTCAGTCTATGTTTCATGATATCGTCGAAGCACTGGCTGATCTTGAGCAGGTACACATGCTTCCACCCACATGTGAACTGTGCGGCCTAGCAGCATCAGCCAAGCTGGGCCGTGTGTGTCCTCCCTTTGACCCCTGGGGAGACGGGACCAGGGTCTTAATCAACGCTGTTATGACAGCAGAGATCCTGTACTGCCGGCATCTTCCACCACATTATTCTCCTCTGACCTTTAGCGCTCCTCGGCTGGAGTAGCTGTATCCGCCGTGTAAATCATATCTGCGTGTACTCGAGCACACACAGGTACAGAGATGCAGAGCGTGCTCGTGCACACACACATGCTCGTCCTTTCAAAAGGAATGGGTCGCTTTCGTTTTGCATCGCATTTTGTCCTCGCTCACCCTTCTCTCCTCTTCATGTCCCCTCCTCCTCCCCCTCCACACCACCACTACCAACCACCCTCATTTAAACACATCTAGGTCTTAATTGAATTGCAAAGGTCACTGGTGCAATTATTCCTGAATAAATGAGTGACCTATAATCCAGAGCTCCGTGGTGATAATTTATTTCACTGTGTCTAATGGTGAAGCGACAGGACGTCGAGGCGGTGTCAGACCCCCTCAGACAAGTTGCCCTCCACCGTGATATTAAGCTGTTACAAGCAGCTAATGAGTGTTACTGCTGCGTTCCCTCACTTAAACTCGCCTCACCCACTCCCTCCTCACTCCATGTCTCTGACTTCACCCCGAAAGTGAGACATCACAGGCTGGAAATGCACAGATAATCTAGCCTCCCTGTTCGGTGTTGGACTTATCTGTTCTGAATGCAAGGCAAGATAATTCTCTGTTAGAAGGATTCTATGTCTGTACTTGCTGAAATGGTAGATCATGAAAATGGACAGTTGTTGAGTTTCTCAGATTAACTGAGATGTATTTTTACTTGTTATTTTGACATTGTCACATAAAAAATCCCCATCTGGATTTGTCTGGATCAGTTATGCTAGTATTGCGGTTTATCAGTGGATGAATCATCAGTATCTGCTCAGCTGTGAAGAAAAGGAAGGACACTTTATTTAAAGGACATTAAAAGACATTTCAAAGTGCTTTACAGAATGCTTTACTGAATGGCAGAAATACAGATATCCTGCAGATTTAAGAACAGCTTGAATTTTGAAAGAACGCCTAACCATGTTATTACCACACATTTCTAAAGAAAGGTAGGCTGAACTATAAGATTGTTCATAATTGATGCAGTACGACCAGAGATAGCCTCACTTTTAATCTCTACTACACTTCCCATAAGGCAAATCTGTAGTGTCTTTTAGCTGGACCGTCCCCAGCTAACTAAAAGTATGCTTGCATTACAGCGTAAAAACGAGGTTTAGGGGTAGAGTGCATTCCACACTGGTCGGTCCTGAAACTCTCGTAGAAATTCCCGGGGGCACTTTACAAAATAGCGCAGCTACAATGCTAATGTTGTTAGTGGTAGGTTGCCAGTGTTATAATAATCAGGATAATCACCTTTATTTGGCCAAGCGTGTTACACACACAAGGAATTTGTTTCCGGTACAGAACTGAGGCAGCCACCTGCGGTGCCAACTCAACCGATGGCTTTAACCATTGGTAGCAACTTGGGGTTCAGTGTCTTGCCCAAGGACACGTCGACATGTGTACTGTAGGCACCGAGATTCGAACCTCCAACTCTCTGGCTGGGAAGCGACTGTTCTCCCCACTGAACCACAGTCGCTCTATGAGTATCAGACTGCTTTTTTTTTTAAACAGGCTTGATAGCGGCACTAGTGTGCTGATATTTCCTAAGTTAAACAGGTTGTCTGTCTTTATCTGATCTCAACATGAGGATCATATTGTTGTACAGTTTTGGGAAAATTCAGAAATGTTGGTTACACACTGTAACCCGGGGTTCTGTGGGTAGAGGTGAAGCCAGGGCAAATCTATGATTGGCTGTGCACATAGAGGTCAGCGCAACCGGGGTCTAATTTCAACAAATTTGAACTTTTGGCGCACCCCTGCTCTGCACTTTGCACTGTGGACATCCGCACAGAACTTCTGCAGCGCACCACATACACAACAATGTGGAGGCACGTTCAAAAAGCCATTTTTCCGCTGTAATATAAGCATACCTTAACACCTAGTTTATACTGGTTGTTCTCACCCATACACTCAGTGGTACGTGCCAAATATGATGTCACAACTGCTGGTGCGTGGTGCCAATTGTCATGCACCTCCCAGTTCTTATAACTTGGCAAGCACCACCTGCACCACGAGGCTGGAAAAGTAGATAATGGATGAGCTGTGAGCAACAGTCTGTGTGCAGGTCTGTCTCTACACACATCTATAGCTTGGCATGTGCTGGCTAGGTAGCCGGCTAGCTAGCTAGCTACCTACAACATGTCTACCACACACGCATTCATTCAGTATCAAAAATAAAAGGGGTGTGGTAGGAACCTAGAAATCACATAAAACAATATAAAAATGGGGATTTTAAACCTCCAACAAGTTTTATTAGTGAGTAGTGCTGTCACAAGTGGAGTAAAAGTGGCCCGCAGCTTCTGAAATATACACAAACAGGACTATTTTCATATCCAAACAGGGAGCCCTGAGTTGGCCCTGATATATTACCCACACCCCTGCTAGTCAGTAACAAAGATTTTCACACTATCATTCTTGTGTTTCATTTTGTCTTGTGTTCTGTGCACACTGCTGTTGCGTCGGTATGTCTTAGTGTGCATGCATGCATTGCTGTGTGCTTCTTATTTCGAGTACACCTGTGTGCAGCACTGGCTGTCATCAGCTATGCTCATACTGCACTATATTGTGTTTATATTAATACTGTGTGTCCCGTGCTCTGATGTGTTACAGTAGCCGTTGTGTTTTGTGTGTAGAGACAGTATTAATGTGTCTTTTTTGTGTGACTTGATGTGTGTAACTTACAGTATAGTCTGTGTGAACGTCAGTATGTTTGTGACTTCCAGTAATAGTTGTACACGTGTTAATGTGTGTGTATGTGTGGTTAAAAACACAACCTTCAGTGGGAGCGCTAATGAGTAAGTGCACTCTTCTTTCTTTATTGTTGGGTTTTATGTAAAGTTGCTCAAATGCTCTCAGGTATGGCGGCTCTAAACGGAGGCCTGGGTGGTGCAGGGCTTACCAACGGGACCGCAGGCACCATGGACGCGCTGACGCAGGCTTACTCAGGGATCCAGCAGTACGCCGCCGCAGCGCTGCCTACCCTATACAGCCAGTCCCTGCTGCAGCAGCAAGGGGCCGCCGGCAGCCAGAAAGAGGGTCAGTAGCTCCAGGCTGTGTTTCCTGCACATCACTGCTGCTCACTGGGAGTGACATTTCAGCCAGTCTCTCTAGCATGTATACACCCAGGATTCACTCTGCAAGAGAGAGAGATGATTAGGTGAAGCGATAGCTATGCCTGTAATAAATGTATTCATACAGAGCATCGTAAAATGTCATACAAGTTAAGAGTTTTCCATGGACAACCAGTGTAACAGTAAAACATCTTTTAAAAGGAGCACATCATTATAAACCATACAGCAGCTGCAGTTTGGAGTAAAAGTAGCCACATGTCAACAGGAAGCAACACAAATGAGCTGTTAATTAATTCTAATAAGTAGCTGAACAACAGGGTGCTTTTGTTGGGTTGTTAAAACTTCATTTATATTTGTTTAATTCAGTCTTAAAAAAAAAAACAAATTGTGAGATTTTTCAGGTTAAGCCTCAAAATGCTTTTAGCAAAGACTGACGTGTATTTAAGTGAAATGCTCTTCCACTTTTTTAAGAAATAAAGGATTAAATTATGGCATATATTTGTGTCATTAGTAGAACATGTTGCAGTAGTTTGCGTGATGTTTCTCGCAGCTGCTAGTAGCACAAAATGTGGACCCTTCTTACAAAATCAGAACTTTACAGTCAATATCAGTTAGATAAGGAATCACTCAGGTACATTAGTGACTAATTAGACCTCTCTGGAAATATCGTCACTATTGTTTGTTTTGCGTTTTGTAGGGCTGCTGCTTTATATTGTGGAAGAGAACATGTAAAATGGATCTGTCTGCATATCAGTGCTGTTGCAAAGTGCCACCTTCATGCTGTGTTAAATTTACCCAAAAGCTTTAGATGGCAGTGCTGAATACAAACCAGATGATGAAATGTCTAGTAAAACAAACAGAGCCACACAGTGTTTGTTTGCGCGCTTCTCGTCTCTGTTCACAACAAAGACAAATTTGTAAAGATGCTTTCTTTCTTTGATGGTGGATCCAGCCCTTGGAACAGTATCTGGCTTTCATTTAGCAGTAAAGAGCATGTTTAATGACTCTGAGAGATGTGACCTCCAGCATTCGGACTGTTACGATGTGTGATAGAGGGGGGAGGGGGCATCAACCTGTGGCTTCCCTTAAGAGAGAGAACGCTCAGCTGAAAGAATGAATGAATCAAAAGCGAGAGAACAGTAGAGAGGGAAAATATCATTGTTAAATGAACACCGTAAGCTTTCATTTTTGTTTAATGTTCAGTACAATTTCACAATGTTGTTAAAAGCAGTAACAAACTCAAGGTCATGTGATATTGTGCTAAGCGGTGGTTTAGCTCCATTCCTATGGCGACAACACAGCAGTGCCATTTGCCACAACACAGCGCTCGCTCTCCTGCAGTTTTGCTTCAATGAAAAACCACTCAGACCTCATGCTCGATATGTGTCTCATCCCCCCAGGTCCCGAAGGTGCCAACCTGTTCATCTACCACCTGCCCCAGGAGTTCGGAGACCAGGACATACTGCAGATGTTCATGCCTTTTGGAAACGTGGTCTCTGCCAAAGTCTTCATCGACAAACAGACAAACCTTAGCAAGTGCTTCGGTACGGCAGCAGGACAGGCGTCAGTGTGTGCTTCCAAAAATAGAAACAAACACAAACGCCTGCAGTTATCTGTCCTTTATCTTCCTGGTGTGGTCACAGTGTGGGCGTTGGATCCTCTAACGGGTACAGCGGGGTACAGTTTGGTCCATCAGAGGAGATGAAGGCCAGGCTGACCCTGATGTCATGCTCATGTCACATGGGAGCTACCGCATATACCAGCTTTAAACTTTAAATTTTATTCAATTAATCTAAATTTAACTTTAAATTGTGCAGCCTTGATTTTTGCCCAATAAATTTAAATTGGTGTGAAATAAAGCAAAGGTGTCTGAAAAGGCAAAACAACTGCCTAATATCATTGTTAAAGTTAGTTCATAAACATGGGAATCTTTCCAGTTTCTGCCATCTCATATGATGTGAACATGTCATGAGAAGTTACATTATGCACCAGGGTCCCAGACTTTCCCAGTAATTCCCTAGAAAGGAACTGAAATGAACTTTTAATTCGTAAGAAAGTTTCTGGTAAGGATGTGCTAATAGTAAAATGGTGACCAGGTAAAATGGAGGTGGTATTCATTTGGTATGTTTCATTTAATTCCAACTGCTTTCTAGCATAACATAGACAGTATTTTAGTAAGTGCACAAAATGCAAACGTCAAATTTATTTACAGGCAAGCATGCAATTCAAAATACGGAGAATAAAAAGAACAGTTCCAGTCAAGAGAGTTTCTCCTCATGATATTTCCAGATTTAATGTGCTGACGGGATTTAACCTGAAGGCTCCAAGTGACCAGCTCTAAACTGATTGAGAGACACTGGGCTGCAAAGGACACGCAAGGCCTTGTTCTTCTGTTGGGACATATTTCTTCTAGACATTCTGATTTTAGGACAGCAGTGGATTTCTTTCCACCTGGTATTAACAAGCTTCCTGATTGGACTGCAGTTAAAAAGAGTACATGGATTTCTGATTGGACTGCAGTTAAAAAGAGTACAAATGCCTCAAATGTAAATTAAAAGGCATTAAAGTGAAGCATCTGCCCATATCAACAACAAAACCTCAATATAATGCATCTCCATTCTTCATGTACCAACTTAGGAAAACAGAAATAAACCGAGCATAGTTCCAGGAAGCAACAACACACAAACTTGTCTGATACTTGTCAGAAAATGGGATTTCTAGGGATGCAAGTGAGACAAGCGCGACGAGCAGTTGACTGTCAGTTTCAGAGGTTGCACATATTACAAGAGGAAGTGAAGTGTGCACGAAGATAACTCAGTGAGAGACGGCAGAAAAATAAAACACAAAATAACCTCACAGTCTGCTGTGAAACCTTTACCCGGTCATTCTGACCAACATTTGTCATGTTGCTCAGATATTGACATAACATTCTTGGAGCAAAGAAGGTGTTATTTCTTATATCTTGTAAGATTCAAAGCTTCAAGATTTATTGCACTTATTTGCAGAGTCACGATGCTTCATATTGGAAGTGTCACCACACCGCCCTTATTTGTTTTCCTGTTGTGCATATTCTATTTTACTTAGCTTTATTCTTTTATTATTTTGTTGATACAAGAACCCCATTTTCTCACGGGACTCATTAAAGTTTAATCTTTTCTATTGTGTACCAGGGATGTGTTTTAATGGAGTTATAAATCCAGACAAATCAGATCTCAAGACACAAACATAGTGAAGGTGCCTCGTGGAGTATCACTCTATTATTACACTTTAATTTTGAGACTGTATAGTTGTTGTAAATAAACCAGACCCATCGAGAGGCTTGTTGGGCTGCGGCTGGGTTTTATATTGTGAGGGAGATTTGGAAGGATCTCTGCTGCACTGCTTTATGGCATAAAACAACAAGGAGAGGCGTGTCAGCCTCCCGAGTCAGAGCTGACGGTTAATAGAAGATTATAGGAAACTTGTCTTCATCTTAGAAGATGCTAACACAAAGCACTGGCCCTGGTTTCTGACTCACTAACCACTTTACTGGTTTTATTCAAAAAAGTCTGGTAGTACATAACTGAGCCAAAGACTCTGTGTTGGGGGGGTACAAGTTGGTGATTTTAAGAGAAGTGTTAACAGAGTGTAATGAACACAGCCTGGCTATTTTCTCATGCCAACACTCGCTAGCTACGGCAGGAACGTTAGTTCACGTTAGGTGCCGTTTCAGTGTTCCTTCTCTCTTCACATTATCGCAAAAGACTGACAGTTCGCTGTGTTGACACAGGCAACGCATTCACACCGCAGCAGGGAAATCAAAGTCCTTATATCTGTGATTCAGAATTACCTCGGCTCAGTAGTAGTTAAAGTAATTAGGGAGCAGTCACTGAGCTGGCCTGTAATGCTTGGTCTGTTTTAAGGAAGGCACCCCAGCTAGGTGGGAGCACACACTCCACTGTCCCTGATACCAGTGGTACCAACCAAGGTCCATTAATTTAAAAGTATTTTAATATTTTGACGTGCCAAACACAGAGCAACTTTAATGCCAAATGGAATAAGGATCGGTCTGCCATTTTCCCACCTCGTACCTGTCATCCTCCTCTCCTTTTCTAACCAACCTTTTTCTGGTGTCCCCACAGGCTTTGTTAGCTACGACAATCCAGTGTCGGCACAGGCAGCCATCCAGGCCATGAACGGTTTCCAGATCGGCATGAAGCGGCTGAAGGTGCAGCTGAAGCGCTCCAAGAACGACAGCAAACCGTACTGATCTTAGCACTAGGGTCTATCTGCTCCTCATGTTAGCACTGCTAGGGTAAGTCCCCCCACAAAAAAAGAAAATGAACAAAAAAATATATAAATAAACAGCAACCCGAGCCACGACCTCTCTACATAGGGAGAGGAGGGGGTGGGGGAGGGATGTGAACGCTTCCATTACCGCCATTACTTTGTGCAAAAAAATTTTTTTTTCTTTTTTTTTTTACAGTGGAATGAAGTAGCTATCTTGGGTAGCTTTTCAAAAACAGTTTGTTTAAAGTTGTTAAGTTTTTCCTTCTCAGTGGTTATTTATACATTTTTGAGGAGTAGTTACAGCCAGATTGAGGTAAAGACAAAGGAGCCATGATGATTTTAATTTTTTTCCTCTCTCTCTCACATGTTGTGAAACTGAGTCCTAGCGAAAGGTTGTTTTTTTTTTTATTTTGACACGCACGCTGATATGCACATTCGACCTTTGACCTCCGCGGTGTTGGTTGCAGGCCGCCGCTGCTTTTCCGAAAACCCTCTATGCCTGCTGGCAACCCAGGAGGAAAGGCTGCGAAACGTCAGTGGCCTCCTTACAGTGTAGTCAGTGCCGACATCAGCCTGCCGTACAGTTACCGCACCACAAGAAGAAGAAAAAACACACCCTCCGATTACATCTTATTATTTATGTGAAAATAAAAGGTGTTTTTTTATTTCTCAGAAGATGAAAAAACAATTAGTAACTACTTTTCTGGATCAGATCACATTGGTCTTTGATGTACAAGGGATATTACAGCATATAGAACATTTTCCAAATAACATCCAGAATTTGATGAAGGCTATAATAATACTACTAATAAAAGTGTTTATGGGTTAAGGGGTTAACTGAAAATACTTGATGTTTGTTGAAAGATTAAAAAAAATAGTTCAAAGTACAGAAAGCCACAGGACTGTAAATTTTATTTGTAAAAAAAGCAGTTCTATTTTTATACATTTTTACTGCCTCAGATGAAAAAAAAGGATTTTATTTATTGCCTATCGTTAAGTTATTGGAATCCTATAAAGAATACAGCATCATTAAAGTAGACCCTTGTGGAGAAGTCTCGTGGAATTGGGTTCTCCAGTGTTTTCCGTGTCTTCTCAGTGTAGAAACCACAATCACAACACACTCCGCCACCATTTGAACCCCCCACACACATACACACACACACACACACACACATGCACCTTCCCTTCCTGTGTCATTTAATAATTCGCACACACGCTTACTTCTCTGTGCTGTTCATCCATCCATCTCTCTCTTTTCACCGCCCTCTCCCTCTCTCTATCCTTAGTGGGACTGCTCCTTCACTTGTCGATCTTCTGCCATTTTGCCCGCAGTTTTTTAAAATTTTTTTTTTGTAAGTGTTTCCGTTTTTTGTTCGTTCGTAGCCCCTTTACCCCCACCCTTCCAAAAAATTTGGATGTTAAACAGAAAGAAATGAGAAGATCCCCGACTCTTCCCAAAAATTGTCTCCCAAATGACAACATCCATCTGGGATCTGATGGATAAAGCTTTGGGTGCTCTCTGTTTTTTGTGTATGTGTGAATGAGTGCGTGCGTATGTGTGTGTTGTTGTTGCTTCTTAATATCAATCTATAACATTAACATTTTTGTATTGCAAAAAAAAAAACAAAAAAAACAAAATCAAAGCTAAAGAATTGCTAATGAAACCAGTGAGTGGTGTTGCTGTTCTGCTGGTTTGCGTTGTTGTTATTGTTGTTGTTTGTTGTTGTTATTTCTCCTGATTTGAAAAATGCTGTAGTGGTGTGGTGCTCTAGCTCTCTGTGTGTAACTCTCTCCTCTCCCCTGTTTTTTCTTTCCCCCTTTTAGAACAACCCATCTCCATGCCTGTTAGCTCATCGTTTGCCTAGCATGTCTCCGTGGTGTCCAAAAAAAACTATAAACAAAACAAAAACAAAAAAATCCCTACCAAAAAAAAAGTGTCATCGTCCTCCTCCTCCCGTCATTGTTTTTTCAGGCTCACCTGATCATAACCTGGTTCTCCTCCTCCTCCTCCGTCGCCTACTGACCTTTTGAACCTTGAACTTTTAGCTTTTTTGGACGTTTATGGTTTTTTTTGTTCTTTCTTTTTGTGTTTTTTTTGTTTCTTCTTTTGCATGTGACCTCATTTGGATCTGTTTTTCCAGGAGGGAGGGAGGCGACAAGGGAGGGGTAGGTAAGAAAATGAATCAATGTGAAAAAGATATAAAGCTGCATTCATATGGCAAACAAAAAAGACTGAAGATGTTTATGGAAAAACACTTTTTTGCAGAAAAAAAACATCAACCTGTGGAAAAGTGATTTCCATGCAGTGTGTTTCCTTGCATTTTATTTTTTGTTTTTTCTTCTTCTTCTTTATGTCAGTTCTTTCTTTTCTTCTTCATTTAAAGTAAACTTGAAAGTTCACTACAGGAATTGGCGTGTCACCTTGCTTCTGGCACCGACGAAAAGCAGAGCGCGGGCCAGAAGCGGTCCGCGCCAGTTTCTCTGAGAAATAAGACTACTTCCAAACAGTTTTGAATAAAAACTGTCTGATCAATATTAGACTCTCTCAGAGCTCTCTAATGGTTTTTACATTTTTCAGGCAGTGTAAAGTTTTTTGATAAGGCCATTTTAAGTGGCTCTGTTTCTCATTCAAAGTCTATATATAAAACCACTTTTTTCTAGTGTAGTTTAAAGGTAAAAATAAAAAAAGACATTTGCCCTGTTTGGGGGGGAGAAATGCTACCTACTTGTGTCACCTTTTGCTGAACTGACTCACAGATAGACAATCCATGGTTTAAATGCACATGATGAAATGACCTATATTTTCTACTGTTTAAATGTATAGAGGAAAAAAAAATACTACGATACCTGTAACCCGCGTTAACGTCGGTGCTTCTCGTGAGTTTAGTTGTGGTTTCATCACAAGTCTAACGGTCTTAAATGTCTCATGTTTTTCAAGAGAAGACTAAAAAATCAGTTTACTTGAACAATAGACAAAGCCTTTCATATTACTATAATAGTTCCTTTGTTTGGGGTTTTTTCCTTCATTTTCTTTTTTTAAGGAGTCCCTATTTGCTATATATATAAAATGTCAGCTTGTGAAGCATCAATGTCATTATTATTTTATTTCTCTCGTGGGAAACAATATTTAGATGTGTTTTGTTGTTCAGCAAAATGTCTTATAAAGAAAAAAAGACAAGATCAGTGGAGTTTAGTGCCAAAATCTGAAGGTACTTCCTGCCTAGCGCGTCAGTGTATTTCTTGTGAAATTATTTGATAACATGGGTATTTTATTATAAGTGTTTTGTATGGATCCCTCATATTTAAAATATAGATTTAAAAAACGGTTTGTTAACTTGCTATTCTGTGGTCTTGTTGCCTGAAAATGTCATGTTTGCTTTTTTCTTTGTAAAGATGTAAAAAAAAAAAAAGTGCCCATGTGTCATATATATATATCTATATACATGCACACAGACACAGACACACACACACACACACACACACTCTCTCATGCAGACCTCACAGTTTACTTTATTGTTGTGCATGAGAGCCCCTGAGCGTGAAAGCCTCTACAGCGACCGCTACTGCCCGCCAGCGTGCACACACACACTTTAAAACACACACACGAGAATCACGCGCTGATATTTTTAGCCATTGTGCAGCCGTTTTGTTCATCAAAGCCTTACCACAAATCCTTGCACTCCTGGTCTCTATTAGAATCTCACAGACATCAGGCTTCAGTATTGTTTTGATTGTTTTCTCACACACTTTCCCACTTCTCCGCACAAAATTGAGGTGAGAGTCATGTGCGAAGCCTTATTTCTTCGAATGCTCCCGTCCCTTTTGTTGGGATCAAAACATTTCTGAGTTATAGCCGGCGCCGTTTGTCTGAGACGGCCACTATCATTACTTCTGTGTATTACCTCAGACGAGCACGTTGCTTTCATGATGTAAGCACAGGGCAAGACTCAGCCTTTTGAGGAAATAGCACATGTTGCCGTCGAATAGTGAAAGGAGACAGAGGTGGGACGGTCCAGAGCAAGTTCTTACTGTTTGATTTGTCTGCTGAACTTATCCTTGGATGTTTTAAGTGGTTCTGAGACTTCTCCATGTGTAAGTCTTGTGGTGTAATCATGGATAAAACCCACCAAAATCATGTTTAGATGCCAAAGTGTGTTAGTGACATTCTCACGGTCAAGCCGTTTACATGGCACAGTGTTGTCAGTCTATTCAACTGCCCCCCGATCCCCCTCCCTGAATGCCTAGTTTACGGTCTGCAAAAAAAAAAAAGGCAGCATTATTTTCTACAGAAGCTCACCAGTCGCCTTAACCAGGGAGCATTGTATCAGTATTATAAGAGTAAAAGATGTTGTCGGTTAGTCAGTGACGTGCCAAGTCCGGGTTCACTCCTGTGTACAGTTAACCTCCCACTTGTCAAAGTCCAGGTTCCGCCATTACGTCCAGTTGGCCAGAGCAGAAAGGCTGAAATGGCTGTTTATTCTCGCAGCCGCGAAGAAGGAGAAGGAAGGAGGTGTCTGTTTGAAAGATGCCGCTCCTGTTGTTGTCTCCCAGGCTAACCGGGGTTATTAGAAACAGGGCTATGTGGAGAGACGTCTTATTGGAATAGCGACAGGGGAAATAAAGCGCTTGTTGGTTGGAGAGGAAGGGTCACGTCTGCGGGTCCACACAGGCAAAACAACAGCCACGGCTGAAATGAAGGCAATGCAGCTTTCATTATCGACTCAAAGACCAAACCCAATACCAAACTTTATCTGAGCTCAAGGAGGGAGGCGTGCAAACCTTTTCCTAAATGCAGTACATACATGAGCAGTGCCACAAACAGCCATAACTACCTGTATGAAAGCTGGACAGGAGGGGCCTCAGTCCAATCAGTGTTAATGGACCAGCATGTGTGCAGGTTTCACGTCGCAACCACTGCAGCGTCAGCAGCTGAGAATTGCACATTTCCACATCGTCACCTTACTCTCGCACAGTTCACAAAACATTTATCTGTTAAGTGTGGAGGCTACAGAATCTGTACTGTACAAGCCAACTTGAAGCACGCAGCTGTTCGTGTCACCCAAGACACTTTAACTCTCCCAAAAACTATGTTGTAAATTGCCAAAACTCACCGAGTTGCACAGTCTAGTGTCTTTGTTTCAATGTTGAAGCACAAATGGGTCGTAGAAACAGAGTTTCTGTGGAGCGGCTCACCTCAGGGGCTGTCATCGCCGATGCTTGTTGTAATCTTTCTATCTTGTCACTGTTCACTTCTCTGTTCTCCTTCTTTCTTAATTATCTTAAGTGCTATTTATCAAACAATGAAATCTGAAAGGAAAAAAAAGAACTTGTTGTTTTTTTGCATTATGGCTTTTGTCGAGTTTTTTGAGGAAAAATGTTTTGTGTTCTCTTTCCGTGCTGTAAGAAAAAGAGCTTGTTGTCTGTAGAAATGATCCAGTTTTTTTGTTTTTGTTTCTTTTACTTCTCAAAAAGGTTTTCAGTAGTTTCAAAGTTATTGTCTTGAGAGAAGCCAAAGTCAATGCATTTCAGTGGATCCTGTAAGCGTGATGTATGTTTGTTTGACAACATTTCGAAATCTGTCACTGGATGGGAGTTAAAAAGTACAAAAAATGCAGGCTTTCCTATTTCTACAACTGATTGTACTTATGCATTTTGTACCAGTGGATTTTTTTATACTGGAGATTAAAGGATACAACAAAAAATCTTAGAAAAAACACTGTCTGGCCTGGTGGTGTGGCCTGACCCTGACTGGTCCCCGAGTATGATTTCTAGCTGGTACCAAGACAGTTGGCTTTTGATATAAGATTTTCTAGAAGATCTTTGGTTTTCGTTCACTTCTGTTTCCTCACTTGAGTGTTGTTCTTTCTTTCTTTTTGCAGAGAGTAGGTGAGTGTCTTTCATTTTTGCTTTATAAATAGTTCTAGCAAGTTTGTCTATACAACAGCGGTAAGTTTCATTTGACTTCTGTATTGTGTCGTCTACACGATAAGACAATTATAGAAAAAGGAGTAGAAATATTTAGTCACCTTCAGTGGATTAATGTATTAGTTTAATAAAGAGAGCAACTAATTAGAGTTTTTTTGCTTTAGCTGTTTAGATTTTTCCGGTTTCTCTGTCCTTCTCTGTGAACTAACTGTGTAGCTGAAGCAGTCAGAATTATTTTTGTAAACGTATGTTCTTGTGTGATGCAGTTTTTTTGCTTCTGTCTCCTATATTAAACCATTTTTCCTAATACTTGTCTCTCTCTGTGTTGTTATGTTCCAGTGGCTGTCTGATGTTGTACTGTTTCACAACCTACTCCCTGCACTTTCTCTCCTTTTCTTTCTCTTCCTTTTCATAGTCGCTCTCTCATTCTCTTTCCCCTCATGTTGGTATTTTTGTTTTTACCACACAGTAAAGTTGGCTCCATCCCCAGTGACAACTCACTATGTTGTTCTCACTAAACATAGTAAATATACATCGAGGTGTTTGTATGTATATTACTGTGTAGCCCAAGTCACTGCGTGACAGTCGACAACCAAAATGGCAAGGCAGGACTGTGGGAATCTAAATCTAACCAGTAAAAAGTAAGAAGTGCTTTAGTTGAGTGTAGAGAAGCTGAGCAGCTTTTGCATTTTTTTGTTAGCTTAAAGAATGAGTTTGACATTTTTGGAAATACACACGTTTGCAGTTTGGCTGCGATGTGAGGGCCCTGACCACACCAGCAAGCAGCACAGCGAAATTCATATATGTGTCTTTACAACATATGTGGCTCTAATGGCGTCTTGTTGTAAAGACAACCTTTAGGGCTGATTAGTGGATTACAGTAGTAGTCTAACAGTGCAGCCGGCTAGCCCTAGCCAGTCCTATCAGGCATCTTTTTGCTGTCTCTGTACTGGGCCGATTAACTCCTCATGGCAGTTTTTTCTCAGAATTCCACAATAATTTCTTCAATAAAGATTTGCTGAATGGAATGCTCTCCAAGCTTGCAAGTTTGCTAACTGCCAGGCATGGTTTGGCTAGTCAGTAAGCTAGCTAGCTTGTCACTCTTTGGACAGTTAGTTTAAAATGAGAACGGTTTATTCAGATATTGACTGCTGTATCATATTTGATCAGCTGTTCCTTTTTTGTTGAGTTGTTTATATGACATGGTGGGGGGGGGCATGTCAATGTTTAACAGAGTTGAACATGTTTCAAAAAGTTAGCATAAACCCCCTAATAACAGTAACTCCAGAGGAATGAATGTATTCTGCCTCAAAATTTAAAAGCTGGTGTGACCCAGCCTTTAGATGGTAAGATCCTGTTGTCACCGTGAGCTTGCCAGACAAGATATCAGATCATAACTCCACAAAACACACACCTTTGGTGTCTATGCAGATAAAGCACAAGAAATAATATTGAGCCTTAGAGGTGCTGGTATGTGGGTTTTGTTGCCTGTGGTCAGAGCAAGGCTAGTTGTTTACCCCTGTTTCCAGTCTTTATGCTAAGCTAAGCTAGCTGGCTGTAGCTTTATTTTTAACATAGTGGCATGAAATGTTGATCTTTTCATCAAACAACAAAAGAGCAAGTTGGTGTATTTCTCAAAATATCAAATTATACTTTCAACTACAGCATATTTTTAATTTTGACTTAAATTGTTTACACTTTCAAAGGCTCTTAACGCTTCAGTTCACCTGAGAAATGCTAAAGCTTTACTTCGAGTTGGCTATCCCAGTTTTTCTCTGTTGTGATTTGCTCCCACTGGAATTGGCTTCCTGTAAGAGGACAGGCTGTGGTCAGGGAATGGTAACTGCAAATG